GCGCTAAGGCGCCGGGAATGCGCCATGTAACTCATGCACGCCAAACAATGCGTGGAATGCATGGCTTAGCAAAAGACCAGTATTCCCTTCAAGGACTGACCCAGCGTCACACTCGGACGAATTGCCGGACTTTTTAAATAAATAAAGCGTCCTACACGCCTCACTATTATCAATATAAAGTTTTAAAACATAACGCGACTAAAAGTTCTCGAAAAGTGACTAACTTTGCACTTGGGCTCTGCCAAAGTTAGACTGAAACATGCATGTTCGTGCTACGTTGCGTGGCACGTTAAGGCTTTTTTAAGGATTTGATCCGGATCCTTTGAATGGATGGATTTTTGGGATCAGAGCTCACGCTAAGCAGCGCTGGCTGTGTGAGTCCTGATCCCTACTATCCGATCTCGCAATTCCAGGCAACGGCAGAACTTAGTGGCGAAAAGTGCTGCAATGCTCGACACGGTCCGTCCTGCCCTCTGACGTCAACAGACCTTTAGCGCGACTGCTGCCACCAGCCGCAGGCCATACCTGTCGAGGACAAATAGCGGGCGTCTAAAGCGACTCGAATCCATCCTGCCACGGGTGGGTGAATTAGAGGGAAGGCGCTCTAACCAACTGAGCCGCTGGGACGGGCAAAACTTCTCTTTTCATTGAAAATTTTCATAAAAAACTTTTTGTCCAATTGGAAAAAGTTGCCAATTGGATGTCCTTTAGACGCAAATGGAGGAACTTCACTGCTGAGGTAGGGGTCGGGGTCTTTGCATCAAGCTGTGCTCATTACGGAACCTCAACTCTAAATCATCTAAGCGAAACATCCGGCCACATTTCTCCTAGAATCCAACCAAATCTAGATTCTAACCTTTGTCCATCACGTATCAACAATAACGACAAAGTTAGCTTTACTGTAGCTGCCAAAATAAACAGCCGAATAGCACGTCACCAGGCACAGCATGGACCTCGACGCCAGCCTCTCCACCACTTCAACTCGAGATTAGCGCGCAGACGCCCGACTCCGAGCCACAGCCGGCTCTCTCAGTGCGGGGTCACCGCGGTCGGGCTGGGGGAGCGCATCATGACCCCAACGGCGGCCGGCTGATCGACACCCGGCCGCCAGCCGTCTCCGGCTCCGAGCCACGGCCGGTTCTCTCAGTGCGGGGTCACCGCGGTCGGGCTGGGGGAGCGCATCATGGCCCCACCGGCGGCCGGCTGGTCTGCACCCGGCCGCCAGCCGCCCCCGGACTCGGAACGGCGGCGGCCGACCGGGCCTCTCGAGATGACACGCCCCCGCGCCTCTGCCCGGCTCCAAGGACAGGTGATGTCCTCAGGGGCGACACCGCAACTCCGGGTGGCCCATGACATTGTCATTTATAATCGCAGTAGGACAATTTCTGACCTTATGAGAGATAGCCCAAACAAACCCGACAAGCTATAATACACCAATGTCGTGTTCTAATTCAAATGCAATATCGAAGATCGCGAACTTCGTTCCATACATTATATTAGTGTAATCACATCCGCACGACGCCTGACAATGCACTTACGTGATGGGCACCTCTGGAGCCAATGCGACACGAACATGGCAGGACATTGATACGACAGCAACCGACGGGCAACACTGACATTCTTCAAACGTGCAATGACAGAAGATCCCTTCAAATTTGGGAGCATATGTTGATTAACGAACCCTCTCCAGCTCTAAACAGACAAACAAATTCTTGTCCAACCTTTGAGTTATTAAGTGTTGGGCGGTGAGCACTATTGATGTGATTGTGGCTATGCGTTCCTGTCTTTCTAGTGTTTCCATTAAAAGTGTATTTTACACGTATCAAAGTAATAATAGGACTCTGTCTTGCTTCAATTGACTATGTCTGACTTCTCTTCTCCGTACGAAAATATGGCTTCTGATAGTAATGCACAATTTTCGTCCTTACAAAAACTAAAAACGTTTTTCTTGTGCCATTTAGACGATGACGACGATCTCTGACCATGACGTACGATCTCGAAACGTAAGAATGTACGGATTGACGAATACATGACTGATTTTGCCCTACGATCTCGAAACGTAAGAATGTACGGATTGACGAATACATGACTGATTTTGCCCGAAATATCCTCGACCTAAACGACAATGTTTGGTCAAAAGTCCGGAAACTCGGACGATGCATAAAAAGGCTCGTCAATGCTGAGTCAGCGGTCACACATCTTCCTGATCCTAGCTGTCCTTCGCTATTTGGATTAGAGCTCTTTCGGCAAGTAATGATCATTTCAGGGCTATGAAATGGAGGAAAATAGATAACGGTGGGTCAAGACTGCATGTCCTTGGAAATAACTGCCAAGGCAAGCTGTCCTTGCTGTCCAGGGATGTAATCCGCAACCGTACCTATTTCAGCGCAAGATTGCCATTGGCCTAATGGGAATGCATTTGGATTGTGAGCCAGCGAGTCATAATTGTGACATTTTAGTTGCCAAGCCAGCTCATGACAACCCTGTTACAGGTCGTGGTACGAAGTTCGTTAAGAAATCACAGCCGCGTCACTGACATGTTTATTAATAAACCCATCATGGGCTGGCTGTGGTGTACGATAGCTGCTTACCTTGTGTATCCTCAGGCTCCAAACTGAACTTATAACGTAACCACTACCCTCCATCCCAATGACGCACATCTTGCACCAGCCTATTTGCCAAATCGTACCGAAGAATATGCATCATGCCTGGCGATAATGTGACGCGACGACCCCAGTTAAACGTTGCCCCTATTTGCCCACATATGACAACTCGGGCTGGCTACCAGGCCAGCCTACTAAAATAGAAAGAAACCCTTCCGAAACCCTTTCTTTTTTGGAAAAGAAAAACATCAATTTTGTTTATTAGGCAACCGCGCGTATGAATGACAATGTAAAAGTTATTTCGGTATCAGAAACTAAGTTCCCTGACAGCACATCATACTATTACATGAAAGCAAGCACACACGAACGCACGTAAGGGGGGACAAACATTAATTCGGGTATATCAACGACAGCATGTCATCAGCCATCACCAGCTTCGTGACACTCCAGCCCGGCGAGAGGATCTCGGCGCCGACTCACACGGCGTGAATCTGTCCGGCCGGCCGAACATTACAATGTCGCACTGGGCCGACTGTAAGCCACTGTAAGCCACTGTAAGCCACTGTAAGCCTCTGTAAGTTTGACTTCCAGGGAAGGCGGTCTGCGCGGCTCCACCTTACACCCAGTGGTCAGCCGGCAACTAACCTAGAGAGCACCAGCCTGGTGCCGGCGGCAGTGGCATGCCATTGCACGGTAAGAGGATTCCTCCGTGGTCCCGACTGGTGACAAATATCCTTTAACGGAGGTGCCACTCCCCAGACGGCGGGTTCAGGAAGCACGCAACGCCTCTGTATAGACAGCACTCGGAGCGCAATGTTACAAAGTTAAACTTTGAAATCGGTTTCATAAAAAAGAGGAATGGAGGAAGCGCGCCCATTTTACCAGCAACATACAAATGCGTCGTTTTTGTTTTTGTTGTTCTGCTTTGTTCTACTAGGGTATACGAGACCTGACGATCCACTTTGCAAAATACTGTACCACCGACATGATTGCAATGCAACATTACGCATAACCAGACGATGCGATAATGCAATAAAGCAGCCAACAGCCTGATACCTTAAAGCAGGACAAACAAAACCAGGAATGACGCTTCTCCTTTTAGGCTTCATCGGTGTCAGCATTTTAAAGTCATGACATCCACAACCTCACGAAATTCTTAATCACTTTTGTCATTTTTACGTCTATCTCTCACTCGGTTTGGGCAGACGTGAGTTACTTTCGAGATCAGTTTTGCAAAACACGACATTGGTCGCTTCACGACCGATTGCTGACGTCACTACGGATCGGACAGTGTTGGGCAGAATAGGTGGCTAGCAGATGGTGCACGCGCCTCCACCACGCAGTTGGCTTCAGAGCGTGGTGTGTATGGTCTGCCAAGCTCTGACAATAATCCTGTAGCATGCCCAGACTGCCGGATCCGTGATTTTCGAACAAGCGTGCGTGAGCCGCCCGCATGCAATAGCCCGCGCTTCTTCCAGTGCTGTAGTCCGTTATTTTCCGAGCCGAAATATGCTGATTTCGTTTCGTTCAAACGTGTCGGATTTATAGCCTCCGGCAGTCCTGGGTAACGTTGCATTAGGTGTATTTTCGACAGCACATTTAACTAACAACGGAACGAAGGAAAACAGGGAAGTTTTTAGCACTAAAACACCACTGGCATGCTTTCATCAAGAGGTTTGTGTTTAAACGTGTTTTTTATGTTTGCCTGGTTTCCGTCTGCCACAGTACATTAATTTGCCATCAAAAATAAACTTACGCAACACGACCATGACCTGGCGGAGGCTATCAACCCGACGCGTTTGCACTATCACTGATAATGTCATAGACCCTGTTGACAGCTCTTGGGTGCCTGCATGACGAAGTTACGTTCAGACCCGAGTGATGGGAGTGTAAAGCAACCTTTGATCTGTCTTGGAACGCATCCGCAGCCGCGATCCCATCACCACAATGAATACCTACATAGTTTCTTATGTCTCCCTGTCTGCAGTGAAGCTATGCATTCCGAGAAAATAAAATGTCAAATGACATCGTCGATAATAGAGTCCTTAGTGTCTGCCTTGGCACTCCGGTTTTGTGTTTATCCAGGACTCTCGAAAAGACGGGTAAACCGGGTCGGGCAACGTTTTGCCGTTCGGTGGATGCGGGTTGATGTCATGACAATGTCGCAGGCGAGTGTGATGCATCGTACGTTAAATCAAATGCGGGGTAGCCGTGTCCGATGAAGCCGCTCCCTACCTTTACCATTACTCGTTCCACCACCACACTGTCCGAACCAAAGCGTCTCGCCACCCGCGAGCAACGAGCGCTTGGCTTCAATCGCATGCAGCACAAACATCTTTCTACATCCGCACGATCTAGAGCCATTACCAGAGAAACTTCCGGATGAAACGCACTCACCTGAGCGACACAGAAGTCTATATTGTGTAAAGCCTTGGCCCTGTGGAAAAAGACGCAGGAAAATGCCAGTCATTCGGAGGCACGTACCGTATGCTATTCAGTGATGACCTACTGAGAACACAAATTCATTAAACACCCGTAAGGTCGTCCAAAAGATGGTGAGAGAAGCTCGGAGAAAATCTGTAGAAATATTGCATTTGAGAGAAGCATTACACGTTTGATTTGCCCCCGCCCCGGCATTCTGTGACTGCCCCCAAATTTGAAAATGAGCTAGGGTGGCAAACAATCGCCCAAAAAATATGCCTACGAAAGTTATGAAAATGATACACAAGCAAAAGCACAACCGTAGCAAAACAGCGAAAGAAAGGCAAAGTTGTTCACCTCGGCAACGAGCGCAAAAACAACAGTCACAGGTTGCATTCATGGAAGCAACCATAAAAAAGTTTCCGAATGACAAACGTCAGTGGGTGTGTCAAAGTGAACAGGGAACAGGGAACATGGAACAGCTAACCACATTAGACGTTGGATCGGAATGACAGCACGAATCAACGTTGACCAACCGCACTCCACCACTTGTCTGCTGTCTCGGTATCGAAACCTGATGCAAGGACTGAAATAAAGGGGTGCAGCGTATACAGAGCTCATGCATTGCTGATGTTGAGTTTCTGACCGATGTAGCTGTCAGTATCACAACTTTCAAGGCAAATTCTCCGAGCCAATTAAGTTGGCATACAAACCCAGCCCTTTGCCAGGCTGGTCGAAGCTGAAACTCCACGGGATGTACGTAATGTACATGAGGGGTCGTCAAAAAATTACGTTACGCATTCTTGACCATTTTTTAACACTCCTCCTCCCCTGGTTACACACTAGTTACGGTGGATGAACAAACTCCCTTCCCCTGGTTACGCTGAGCCGCAAATTGTGGCCGCAAATTGAGATAGAAGTACGAGTCAGTCAGGCGTGTTGCTTGGCACTAAAAGAAGTAAGCAGCATCCAGCTTTGAGATCTGAAAACATGTCAAAAAACTTGAGTAAGGTTTGCAACCACATCTAAAGACAACATTACACTGTCCAAGCCCCCTGCATATCCCGCTTGCTACGCTTGGGTTCCGCTCCATCCCCCTCTCCATGCATTATGTAATATATGGACTGCCCATAACGATGGGTTTCGTTTGCATGCGGACGCCTCCACCCCCAAACCACCGTGTGATCACCAGACCAGACATTCAGACGCCTCTGTCCACCCCAAACCGCCGTGGGATCACCATACGGGACCTCGAGCGGCAGCAGCACGTCCGTGCCACCTGCCCTTCCTCGGGAGCCACCTTCTCTGACGTCTCTGTCCACCCCCAAACCGCCGTGGGATCACCATACGGGACCTCGAGCGGCAGCAGCACGTCCGTGCCACCTGCCCTTCCTCGGGAGTCACCTTCTCTGATGCCTCTGTTCACCCCAAGACCGGCGTGGGATCACCAGACGAGACCCCGAGCGGCAGCAGCACGTCCATCCCACCTGCCCCTCCTCGGGAGTCATCTTCTCTGATGCCTCTGTCCACCCCCAAACCGCCGTGGGATCACCAGACGGGACCTCGAGCGGCAGCAGCACGTCCGTGCCACCTGCCCTTCCTCGGGAGCCACCTTCTCTGACGTCTCTGTCCACCCCCAAACCGCCGTGGGATCACCATACGGGAGCTCGGGCGGCAGCAGCACGTCCGTGCCACCTGCCCTTCCTCGGGAGTCACCTTCTCTGATGCCTCTGTTCACCCCAAGACCGGCGTGGCATCACCAGACGGGACCCCGAGCGGCAGCAGCACGTCCATCCCACCTGCCCCTCCTCGGGAGTCATCTTCTCTGATGCCTCTGTTCACCCCCAGGCCGGCGTGGCATCGCCAGACGGGACCTCGAGCGGCAGCAGCACGTCCGTGCCACCTGCCCCTCCTCGGGAGTTACCTTCTCTGACGCTCGGCGTATCTTCGCAGGAAGTGAGCGACCCAGACCAGGACGGCGGCGCCCGACATCCCGTTGAGGGCCGCGCCGGCAGACATCCGGCCGACGCCGGGCGCCATCTTGCTCCAGATGCCAGGCATCTCACAGCTGCCCTGTCAGCACAGTACAAAATCCGGTCGAGCTAGATCGCACACAAATAAGACGTGCTTGTTAGATATTCTCAATGCATGAAGAATGCTAGAAATCGTAGGGGAGATAAACACAATGTCAAAATATAACAGGGCGACTGTTTGATTTTCAAAGTGTTGTCAAAGCAATTTTCAAAAGAGCCAGTCCCCGTCCCATACCTTCCACTAGTTTCTGCCTGAAAGTATGTCACCAGCCCCCTACTTTCACAACAGTTGTCAAATTCAGGAAAAAGCACTCCTTATGTATTTTTGGACTACATTTAGTCATTTTCCCTGTTAAGTCTCCCCCAACCCATTTTGTGAAGCTACACCCCTGTGTCTATGTTCATGAAATATTAGGTCAGACTGCGACAAACACACATTATGCCAGAATGCCCTGCATAGTGGCAGCATTGCAGTAACAATTTCAGCACATGTATGCCATAAATCTGAATAGTTGGCTTGGTGCAGTCACCACCAATTTGGGTGCACAGAGCTTTAGTTTCAAGGAATTATGGTGTTGTGAAGGTAATTTCAGGTAAATATGATGCAAAAACAAACTTTAAAACTAAATAAATTAAAATAAATAAATAAAATAAAAAGTTTCTGAGGGGGGCATTACAGCTTTATGGTGCACTCAGCTGCTGAGGCTACCTGGCATCCCCTGCCTCTCGCCCTGGCAAAAAAAGTGGGTACTGCAGGGAATCCAACCCTGAACCCCTGGTTTTCCAGGCATGCAGTGGTTAATGCAAACATGTTAACCACTTCACTATGGGTACCCCAAGTGGTACTGAACCCCACTGGATAATTCCATGGCATAAGAAAAATGACCTCCAGCTGCTAGTTCTTCCAGACTACAAAAAAATATATGCAATACACAGTGTAGTGCAGGCATCCAGCACATCCAAAATCCAAAGACAATTCAGAGCATGCACACCATACACCCCAACACTCATAGTGTGGCACATGATCATCACCTGTTGCAGCACATTAAGAGTGAATGCTTCAAGGAATTATAAGGTGAAGGTCATGCATTAAGTCCATCTGCAAAAACTTTCATCCACTGCTCCACATACCTATATCACAGGAATGCTGAACCTCTTGCCCACATAAGTGGAACCCCAAACAGGCCCAAACAAACAACATTTTCAAATGCTTTTGCTGAAAAATACTAATATCCCCAGAGCAGTTTTGCTTGAAATTACCCTTTAAACATAACTCCCTCTGGCATTGGCTCTCTATGCACTTAATTATGTTGTGTAAATATGTGCCAAACTCTGAGCACTTGATTTATGATGTACATGAGTTGGCATTGTTGCGGCTATGCTACTATACCTGTGCGGCATAATATGCATGCATTGCGGTCAGGCCAGGAGACACTGTGTTAGCGGTCACCGAGTGAACATTGGTTAACTTGATGGTACTCAACATTTCAATCTGTGCTTATGATCACTCAAAATTACAAACATGATCATAGTTCACAAGTATGATCATCATAGGGACAAGTATAAACATAATTATCATAATGGTAAGAAGCAGAAACATGAGCATGAGCAGGTGACCACTAAGCAGAGCTTGAAGTGTCAAGTATCAAAAATAACCAGTGTTTGCTCTATAATATTGCTTAACCAGTTCAACAACCAGATGATGTCAGAGGGCAGGACAGACCATATAGATTGCAGCACATCACAGTTTTACCTCCAAATTCTGCTGTTGACCTAGGATTATAACATCAGATGGTCCAGGTCAGAGCTTACACTACAAGCACTTCTTAACATGAGCTCTGATCCTAGAAATCCACCATTTAAAAGGCTTACATTGTCTCAGAAAACACAAAAACAGAACTCCCATTCACATTATTCACTGAAGATAAACAAATTAATGACTAATGCATCAGATAATTTTTTAATTAGCAACTGAGCTTAGCCTTTTGTAAACATGTGATGTGAGAATAACAAATCAAGGCATTGCCCCTGCTAAAAAGTTTGTCAGAATCAAGTGATAGCAATGTGCCGGCCAAAAAATGTCATCACACTGATCCAAAAAACAAAAACACATGCAATGCCAGGATCATCAGAATAATGCAAAACCACTGTGCCTTGGCTGTGAATAACCATTTATAACTTAAGGCAGATTAAAACCACCACACAAGCATTGAATGTGAAACAACCCCAAGCTGAATTGATTCAAAAACCAAGATAATTATTCAAATGAAACCTGCAAAGCAAACATGGAATGTGAATAGATAAAGAACGATCACACCGACAGAACCATGCGTTGAATCACCAAAATCGTTCAAAATGACATAAATCAATTGTAAACCGTTTCTAAAAATTTTAATCGAACACATGCCTGCCCCTTGTATATTGCAGTCCTTAACTATCATAGCATCCCAGAGCTAATAATAGCTTCTTCCATCTCATGTGAATGCATGTCACGCACCTTTCGACGAAATTTGACCGGAGCAGCCCGAAGCAGGACAGCACGCACCGAGAACACACAGGGTGACAACCGGACCAAGTCGTCAACGGTGATCTTAGATAACAAGTGCTGTTAATCAGAAAATCGCGCACTGTATGTCTGAGACGCGCAAGGCTGGACCGTTTTTGGAGCAGCATAAGCCGCTTCCATATTCTTAAATCTTCCTGTCCCCGCACAGTAATTTTCAAAACGCTCTTATCCAGCACGGTTTGAAAATAGCGCACAACACATGCGGGAGGCGCTCATTAATTGTGCACTGAGGATGTGATCCGACGCCGCTTTACATCTTACAATTACTTTGCAAGCACTGACCCTTTTATAGCAAATTGTCGAAAGTCCGCTTCGGTCCAGACGCGGGAGCTGAACACATGAGGGACCGTTGTGGCGTCCCCCAGCAACCGCCCATCCAATCACCTGTCGTTAAATTCGTGACGGATCTGGGGTCATGGTTACACAATTTCTTATCGTGATGCCCAGTTCATTTAGCGATGCCTTACGGTCTTGTCATCATTACTGGTATGGTCATGTCGATCAGTCAGACCAATACCTGATCTGCATCAGTTCGCTGCCGCCATTATCAGGGCCATGCAAAACAAACCACAACTACTCACCACTGTGAGTCTATTCACGTCTGTCTGCGAGCATGTCCGTGTGTCTCTCAACATAGCCAGATCCAATGACCCCACTCATCTCGCCGAGTGATCGAACTTACCACGAGACAACCGATAACGAGCTACGTTGAAACAGAAAGACACCCATCACGTCGACGCAGTAAATGTATTAAAATATTTGCATCCGTGTGACAACGGATAAAAGCGGTGTTTTCAGCTTCACAATAGAACATTGTGCCTACGAAGGAACAGAAGGGCTTGGGAGGGCGACGTGGCAATGACGAGTCTATCCAGAGCGTGCTGGCATCTAGCAGCTGGACCAGCCAGCGCCCAGTCAGATGCGTGGGTCCACATCCCGCGAGGCACGCGCAGCCACGCTCAGCCAGGTACGTGTATGGTCCTGCACCCCACTCTGCTCACGGCCAAGGCTGAAGGGCCCACCGGGACGGACAGTCCACAATGTGGAGACCTCGGTTCACGGCTCGGCCATGAAAGCCACAGACATACGCATTGGTCATCTCGAAGAGATCCAGTGGACCGAGAGCACGTCTTCCTCTGCACAGCACCGCTGGCACAGTGGCCGACGGTGAGCTCCGTTGTACAGACCCCGGCTAACGGAAACATAGACTTAGCGTTGTTATACTAAATACATCTTAACAATAGACATATTAGCAAGCCCTCGTGGGAGCATTGTTAAAACTACAAAACACCGGCGTGATGAGGCAAGATTTATAACCTAGATGGCAGGATTCTTACATAATAGCGCCTACACCATAGCGTTTTGGACCATTTTCAGCAGCAACACTTTCATCATCTTTCGCGAGACCCAAATCGATCCACGCAGAGAACGCCCACCTCACGTGCCCGCGAGAAGAACGGCGGCGCACCGACAGCTGATATGAGCGATCAGCTCAATAGTGCCATTTATATTACATGTATTAATGCTTCCCAGCTGTTTGATAGCGATTTGATTTGTTACACAAATTAACCCTAGACAAGACAATGAGTGGTGTGCTCTGGACTCCGTGCTCTCCGCACTGGTGTAGCGAAACATGCTGGGAAAACACACGGCGACGACGACACGACCAGACAGTGCGCGCGCGCGCCGCGTACCCTTTCTGGCCTCGCCCGGTCGGGCACGCACCGTCCCGCCGCACACCCCACAGCTTATGGCCGACCGACAGATGACACCCACATAATATACAGCACCAGTTGCGATACATCTCTCGCCAAGCTCGCCCTGTCGCCTCGAGCGCACAGCCAACAAATACCGCACCAACCACTATTGCAACTGTCCGTGGCGCGACCGCCGCAAGAGCCACGCCAGCACACGTCACAGCTGAGGAGCGCTCTCGCAGCGTAGCCGGCGGTGCACGGGCGCCGTCGCCGCTCCCGAACTGGCGGTCACCCACTTTGCACTGCCGCGGCGCGGCGGGGCGCGGCGCGGCCCGGCGGCGGCGAGCGGCGGCAGTGAGCGCGCTCCAGCCCGGGCCGCCTGCCGCCCGATCGTCGCCGCTTTGTACTCGGCGGTGGGCGCGGGCAGGCGGCTAGGTGGCGCGGCCGAGCGGCGAGGCCACCGAGCCGGCGCCGGCCGGCGCGGCGCGCAGCACCGTCCGGTGCAGCACCAGGTCCACCCGGTCGGCCTCCTCCTGCGCCGCCGGCGACCGCACGCCCGGCTCCGACGATACTGCGGGGCGCGGTGACAGAGCTTGGTCACGGCCGCTGCGCCGACACGAACCCCGGCCGTCCGGGCAGGGTACCTAGTCCTGGCTCATACACGCCGGGCCACGGCCACAGGCCCGACCCCGTCCAGAGTATGGCCAGGTTAAGTGCGACGGTGTCGGCCGAAAGCTAGAGTTTGATATTCGATCTCGGACTTGTGCCGGAATAGCAAACAAAAAATTACAAGCGTAAGCTAGATAAAACGAGAGAACAATCTAAAAAACGTCAACTTCACGCATGCGTACAACTATGGGCTACGATTAACATGCTTCTGAACATAAAAGACGGAGAGTCTAACAAAGCAATATTGGCATACCTGGAATTGTTTCAATCTTGTAAAGAGATTCATTCTGCAGATGCCGGACCACCTGCGGACATACAATGGCGGTGCTGACGCTATCTCCGCCACAGGCCAACAATCCCCAGATCAATCAGCTGTCCGGCCCGCCAGCGCACCATGACATCTGCACAAAGATCGGGGTCGAAAACCCATGGAAAACCCATGAAAACCCACCCAACCAAAACCCAGCTAGCAACATTAAAATGCACCACATCTTACCGAGCATGCCAACTTTGGCAAAAAAGCTCATGGACGTGTAGTCAAAACGATACATCATAGCGAAATTGTTGCTTATAATAATTATCCCTGCAACTAGCTGTTGTAAAGGCTAGTAAGTCACATGGCCGGAACAAAAGGCCACCAAATAACAGCTGGATCACATAAAAAACGCTTGACAATCTGGGTACGACAGACGCTAAAAAAGGAAGGACCAAATCATTTCTCCTGTTCAACGTATAGGAAGGGTCACCGTTAGGCGTCCTATAATCGGACGCAGCCCCTGGAAAAGGTGCAAAAAAGAAGGTATTTAGCCAGGTTTTACGTGGATGACAATCTATTCCAACAGCACGCACTTCGATCATACAGGACAGGACACTGAGAGGTGGATCCGCAGCGAATAACCTGCGAGGGGCAATCCCCTCCCCTCCCCCCCCTCCCCAGCGAGGGACCACCAGCGGAGTCCCCCCACCCCCAGCGAGGGACCACCAGCGGCGATCCCCCCAGCGGAGGACCGTCAGCGGCGGTCCCCCACCCCCAGCGAGCCCTCTCCCCGGTGAATGACCATCAGCGGCGGTCCCCCCCACCCCCCCCGCGAGGGACCATCGGCGGCGGTCTCCTCATCCCCAGCGAGGAACCATCAGCGGGGGTGCCCCATCCCCAGCGAGGGATCATCAGCGGCGGTCTCCTCATCCCCAGCGAGGGACCATCAGCGGCAATCCCCCATCTTCAGCGAGGGATCATCAGCGGCGGTCCCCCATTCCCAGCGAGGGACCATCAGCGGCGGCCCCTCATTCCCAGCGAGGGACCATCAGCGGCGGTCCCCCAGCGAATGACCATCAGCGGAGGTCCTCCCGGCACGACGGCTCACCTCGTCGGTGAGGAGGACGGCCACGCCGCCGGGCCCCTCCACGCAGACCTGACGCACACGGCCGGTGCCGCAGTTCAGCAGGGCGGCCAGCTTGCGCGTCATCTCGGCTCGTGTCGTCTGGTACAGGTAGAAGGCGTGGTACAGCGTCGACGACGGCACCGACGCGTACACCGTCAGCCGAGGAAGGATCAGCCTGCGCAAACACAAATATAAAGTCAGCATATAGGCCAGCGGCGTGGGCTGAGGTAGGATCAGGAGATTGCCGCAGAGAGAGTGAGTCGGTCAAGGCAATACCAGATACTGCAGAATCAGCCGACAACCCCACCACAGCCCAGGACACCAGCGAGCACATCATCAGCGGGCGCGGACAGGAGCCCCGTAGCGGGACACCGCTAAGTCCGCGTCCCGCACAGCGGCCCGAAGTGTGCCGCACCGCCGACCACCCACCCACACACGCACGCTCGCCCGCGGGCCGGCGGTCGGCTGGCCGGCCGGACTGACTTGTTGTGCAGGCAGTTGTACAGCCGTACGCCGTCGGCCAGGCCGCAGATCTGGACCACGTCGTCGCGCGACATGCGCATCAGGTCGGCGCCGGTGAAGTTGCAGAGGGTGGCCGCGTGCGCCGCGAACCGGTTGCGCATGAGCCAGGCGTGCGTCTGCTCGGAGGAGGAGCGGGCCGAGAGCAGGTCCGAGACGGCCGGCGCCGGCCCGCCCGGCGCCTGCGGGCGACAGGCGCGCCCCGTCACCAACTCGCTCCACCCCCTCGCTGGTGCGTTAGTGGGGCTTTTCCACGGATTCCGCTGCAGGTGGGGCTGTGTCCCATCACCTGTCTCTCGCCCTGGAAGAGACGGCGAGCACCGCAGGGAGGCCAACCCTGAACCTCTGGTTTCCCGAGCACTGAGCGAAATCACTCAGCGATCACATCCTGACCCTGCGCGGCGAGCGAGACGACCGCGTCTGACGTTTGGTTGACCTGTACAGGTGGCGCTGCTGCAGGAGGTGAGGCAGCGCCACACGCAGAACAGCAGCCATATAACCGAGCTGCTGGCTGCGACTGGGACCAGGACTGGCCCCTCGGACGCGCCGATGAGTCGGCCGATCGCCACGTCGCCCCGTACCTCGTCCTCGTTCATGCTGTCCGTGGGGCTGGAACTGGGCTGAGACCACTGCTGCTTGTAGTCGCCGTCGCCGCCGGACGGCGCGGCCGGCGGCGGCGGCGGGGCCGGGGGCGGCGGCGGTGGCCGCGGCGGCGGAGGGGACGCGTCCGGCGGCCGCGGGACGGAGGCGCGCTGCGCCGGGTCGGGCTGCGCGGCGGCCGGCGGCAGCTGCGGGCTGTACACCAGCTCCACCGGCATCTCGCTGAGGATGGTGCAGTCGTACGAGCGCTGGTACTTGTCCAGCTCCGACACCGGCCGCTTCATGAAGCGCTCCCGGTCCTGCTTGTGCTTGCGGTCGGCGCCCTTCAGCTGCCGGCAGCGGCGGACAACAGCACGGATATCAGTTCCGCCGGCGCGGACAGGCGGCGCTGCCGTCACTCACTAGCCACTGTGTGTACGTGACGCTCGGTACAAAATGACTATACATTCTGGGGTAAATCAATACGCAAGAGTTCTGGTCCCATGGAGCTACGTAGGAAGACCATAATCACCGTACCTCGAAAGATGAGGAATCTCCATTCCAGAAAGCACCAAAAGGTACTGTTCCCAATGGGAACACTAGGCACCCAGATGGGAACTTCCCATCTTATCTAATCTAATCCCATCCAGGTGTACATGCAACAGCGCCACCAAATCAGACAAACCCCTAGTGGGCCAAAAAAAAAAAACAACAGAAAACACTCCCACCAGACACACGACGGCTGGCTCCAACAACACATCATAACAGCTGTCTTCAAGAACATATCACAACTCGTCCGTCCCGTGAGGTTATTTCTTTACTCCAAACGCCACTCCAGGTGGTTGCGACCCCCCCCCCCTCCCTCTCTCCCAGTGGTCCGCCCGGCTGAAGCCGCCGCAGCGGGCCCCCTACCGCCGCCTACCTTGAACACCTTGACCTGGGAGGCGGCACAGTGCAGGAGCGGCCCGACAGGGTCGCCGCCGCCGTACGTCTCCGCCTGGATCCGGAACGGCACGCCCTTCTCGCCGCCATGCTTCTTGGGCGTGAACTCGGTGCTGACCGAGTGTACCTGAGGACGGCCCGCACATGTACAGGCCACACCGAGGCATGCGCTCGGACCACACCCCGGCCTGGATCAGAGACGGCCGCGTAGCAGGGACGCAGAAACAGGTAGGGGGAGAAGGGAGAGCTGAGCCCTCCCACCAACTTCCTGAAAATCCATTGTTGCCCTTATGGCCATGACTGAAAAAATAAGGCTACCGCCCTCCCCACAACTCGGACATCCGGCGCCCCCGGGTGAGGTGATGACGGCGATGAACAGCAATGCGTGTCTCACACCGTTTGAATGGCCCCCTGATTTCGGGAACCGTCATCAACTGTCAAACTGTCAGGTACCTTCAACAGCCAGTCCTGGTTGGTGACAGCCCACATCTATAGCAGGAGCAGCTTTAACGTCATTCTGAAGATGGCTACCTGCCTTCCCAAGACTGCCGTCAATGTGCTGATGGTACCCCAGCGCGCCTGGGGACGACCGCCACACACTCCGACGGCGGGGCACTCAGAGTGCTTGGGCGGCAGGCAACTCGCTAAACTATGCCGAAGTCCGGCAAAAGCCGCTCACTTCCTCGTCCGCGCGAATTTCGTAAATATATAACGCGATCGGACGGTTCGTCCGCCAAACGAGCGCGGGGACGCACGACGAAGGCGTCGCGACAGCCAGCCTTCCAGCTTCGGAAGCGGCGCATGGAGCGGCTGCAAATGATGGAGGCCCGATGGGTGGGTGCTCAGCAACGGACAGCGGACCGCTTGCCGTAACAACGGCGCACTGCCCGGGGCATCAAGGCCGCCGTGCGTGCGAGTCTCGTCCATCCCCACCTTAACGTAAACACCGACGTCTTTGTTTGGACTCCACAAAAACTCGCAGCAGTTGAGATGATTCGGGTCCTGGCGTACGTCAAAGATGCCTGAAACATGACATGGGGCGTCACCTCTCCGGGGGCCAATGCCCACCAGTTATGCAACACTCCGGGCAGGCACCTGCGTCCTTGTGAACACACGAGGTACACAGCCTATGCTGCCGCCGCAAAATAACAGTGCGTGTTGCATATTCTATTGTTATGTATTCTGTTCGCGTGCAGCAGAGCTGGGAGTGTATTATCGCTTCGCCTGCCATCAGTGATGTGTTCTGTTCGCGTGCAGCAGAGCTGGGAGTCTATTACCGCCTCGCCTGCCATCAGTGATGTATTCTGTTCGCATGCAGCAGAGCTGGGATTCTATTACCGCCTCGCCTGACATCACTTTTAACAGATGCCATATCGATATTGCTGAATCTTTGCTTCCGGCTCAATCTATCACATTGCTTGCAAATTCGGTCGTCAATGTTATACACACTGTGGGGTGGAGTGGAGACACTGCCCGTCACCGATAAAAGTACCGCGCTCAGTGAAGAGCTAACCTCATTTTCAAAGTCAAGCAAAGCGGTGTTTCATTCCAGCCAGAACCGAACATCTGCAAGCCATCATAACGCCCAGAGTACGACGCGGTCGTTATGTCACCGAAGGCCTACATATGGATGAACATGACACAACAAGCCTGACAGACCATCAACACTGCGCCACGCGTACCTCACACAGTTTGTGGGGTCAAAACGCATCCAATCGTTACTCATGCTAGGAACGTGGGGGAGGGGGGCGGGGTGAGCAAGACGGGAAGCCATTTCCGGGTGGCGACGGCCTGGGTTCAGGGGTCAGAGACGTGTCTGAGCCAGCAGCCGGTCTTCGGGCCGGTAGCTCCGCCCGTCATAGTCACGGTCAGCACACTGAACGCTCCATGCAGTATTCAATAGTTTTGGTCAATGACGTTCCGTAAAAGTAGGTCTGAGCAACGCTTGGCTTGCTGAAGACCAATTGCCTATGCCAAAGCTAGACAAAGCCATGTGTGCTGCCTCCCTGATCTTTGAGTCATTTTGTGAACAGTCACTGGTTTGCAAAGATTGAGAAGGCAGCGAGCGAGGCATAGTGCATAGGTTGAACGAATTTGTAAACAGACACCTGTGCACATTGCTTTTTTAAAGTGTGTTACAATCTAAAGAGCTTCATCATAAGCCGCGGAGCGCGGGTACAGTACCCAGCATATCCCAACATTCGTGCCGCGTCTCACAGCCCTTTGTTTCGCAGTTCGGTTGTGGTTGAAGCCACTGCGTTACTCCTATGCGGAAGAACGTTGCCACTCCACTGCCTCCAGTGCGGGAGACATTCGGGTCCAGGTGGCGATAGCACAACCAGGTGATACCACAGGTGAACTTAAAATGCCGCGTACCACAGCCGCATCGTAATCATCCACCAAGCCGCCGACTCCCAACCAGGACTTCCGGTGCCGGTGTAATCTGCTAGCCTGTTTTCAAAACCAGTGGCAATGTTCACGAGTAAGTCAGTTACCTATTTAATTCCCTGTCTTGCGTTACGTTATAGTTTCCCCAAGCAGTAACGTCATCAGCGAACGCGCCCGGAGTTGTTTTCAAGGGTAGAAAATCGCTCCGACCGTCGTCCTCGTCCGCTCAGTTGGTAGAACGCTGGACTCAATGAGAAGATCCCGGTTCGAATCTCAGCTCTCAAGGAAAGAACCCTGGTTCCGACGAGCACGTGACTGGGAGCCACGCGCCATTAAGCCCTTCTCAAGACTCAACGACACCTGACAACGATACTGTCACTGACAACACCCCACGACAACTGGCGGAAACGCCGCCCGCGTACACACTACACGAGGGCGACAGAACGAACAATTATCCCATCCGTGATATTAAAACCTGGTCTCAAGCTTTCAATAATACCAGAACTTGTTTTGTTTCCGGCGCCACTTCGCGCCCGAATTTTGACACTCGAAAGAGAATACTACAACCGCGGGGAGTAACAAACATCAATATTTTCCGAATAGGGTGTGAATCAACAAAGCTGCCGAGGATTTTCGCCTGAGCTGGTGTCTTAACTTCTTGACAACCGAAGCCAACAAAACGCTCTGTACGTGCCGTTCTGCACTCTCTCAGATTTCTTGATATCTCAACTCTTGCATCTATACAACACATCAGTTTTATTGGCGGCAATGGCTTTGCTAAACGCTGTGTACTTCATTTCACAGCGACGGACAATGTGCGGTCAATGAGTTCTCTCATAGCTGAAAACTTGCCCGGTGTATCAGAGCCCAATCACTCAACACCGTCGGCGAGCTTTACGTGTTTTCCGCGTGGTAGAAGTGAAACATGGTTGTTCAGTAACGCGTTTCGAGGACAACAGCCCAACCAGCCTGCAGTCCTCAACCGCTCAGACCGCATCATCCAAGCTTCCTTCCCAAGGGCGGACCACGCTCGACGCAACCACAGTGTCACATGTGGGCAGAGCCGGAATCAGGCTACTGTCTATATTAGTTGCTAATTACTCTGCTGTTTTTAGTATGGCCGTTTCCAGTGTGCGGCCAGGGCGGAAACCATGAGACGAGACCAAGTCATCGCAGGAGGAGCGGCGCCGTGCCGTAGGAAAACGGTAGTCCACCTCCAACGCCCCGCCTCCTCCCCTCCCCCCCCCCCACGCCGGGAGCTGTACCGGTCAGCCCAGGCCGTGTCAGGAGGGGTGGCACCGTACCGTAGGAGGGCGGTAGCCCACCTCCAGCAGCCGGCCCCTCACCGGGAGCTGTACCGGTCACAACAGGTCGTGTCAGGAGGGGTGGCATCGCACCGTAGGGGAGCGGTAGGTCCACCTCTAGCAGCCGATCACCGGGTCGGGAGTTGTACCGGTCACACAAGGTCGCGTCAGGAGGGGCGGTACCGTACCGTAGGAGAGCGGTAGGTCCACCTCCAGCAGCCGGCCCCTCACCGGGGGCTGTACCGGTCACAATAGGCCGTGTCAAGAGGGGCCGCACCGTACCGTAGAAGAGCGGTAGGTCTACCTCCAGCAGCCGGTCCCTCACCGGGAGCTGTACCAGTCACAACAGGCTGTGTCAGGAGGGGCGGCACCGTACCGTAGGAGAGCGGTAGGTCTAACTCCAGCAGCCGGCCCCTCACCGGGAGTTGTACCGGCCGCAACAGGCTGTGTCAGGAGGGGCGGCACCGTACCGTAGGAGAGCGGTAGGTCCACCTCCAGCAGCCGGCCCCTCACCGGGGGCTGTACCGGTCACAACAGGCCGTGTCAAGAGGGGCCGTACCGTACCGTAGAAGAGCGGTAGGTCCACCTCCAGCAGCCGGTCCCTCACCGGGAGCTGTACCGGTCACAACAGGCTGTATCAAGATGATGATGATGATTGGGGTTTAAGGGCGCGTCGACTTCTAGGGTCATTTTGCGCCCATAACAGCTAAGTGTTTACCGTGGCGTATAAATGGCCGTGAATCCTGCGCTTCTCAAAAATGAAAACAGCTGTCCGGTGCCAAGCATGCGAGAATCGTCACCAATAAGGTCTGAAAAGGTAAGACCTGACGCATCTCGTCCGAAGTAAAGTGCCCGCTCTTCTCTGAACTGTGGGCAGGAGTGAATAACGTGGCGAACCGTAAGTGGCGCATCACAGCGAGGACATTTAGGGCGTTCTTCACCGCACAAAAGGTAGCTATGTGTTGCGTGCGTGTGGCCAATTCGTAATCTGCTGAGGGTTACTTCTTCGCGTCTCAGCTTACGTGAGCTTGAAGACCACAGACCCAGTTGTGGCTTGATCATCTTTAACTTATTGTTTACAATGGCGTCCCAGCAGCGTTGCCATTTCGCCTTCACAAAGGTCGCGATTGCAGGGTAAAAGTCCCTTGCCGGCAAGGGAAAAGAACGGGTGCAAGGTGCACGCGCTGCCCGTTTTGCGGCCGCGTCAGCACGCTCGTTACCTGCGATACCCACATGACTCGGTATCCAACATAAGAGGGGCGGTACCGTACCGTAGAAGAGCGGTAGGTCCACCTCCAGCAGCCGGCCCCTCACCGGGAGTTGTACCGGCCGCAACAGGCTGTGTCAGGAGGGGCGGTACCGTACCGTAGGAGAGCGGTAGGTCCACCTCCAGCAGCCGGCCCCTCACCGGGAGCTGTACCGGTCACAACAGGCTGTGTCAGGAGGGGCGGTACCGTACCGTAGGAGAGCGGTAGGTCCACCTCCAGCAGCCGGCCCCTCACCGGGAGCTTTACCGGTCACAACAGGCTGTGTCAGGAGGGGCGGTACCGTACCGTAGGAGAGCGGTAGGTCCACCTCCAGCAGCCGGCCCCTCACCGGGAGCTGTACCGGTCACAACAGGCTGTGTCAGGAGGGGCGGTACCGTACCGAAGAAGAGCGGTAGGTCCACCTCCAGCAGCCGGCCCCTCACCGGGAGCTGTACCGGTCACAACAGGCTGTGTCAGGAGGGGCGGTACCGTACCGTAGGAGAGCGGTAGGTCCACCTCCAGCAGCCGGCCCCTCACCGGGAGCTGTACCGGTCACAACAGGCCATGTCAGGAGGGGCGGCACCGTACCGTAGGAGAGCGGTAGGTCCACCTCCAGTAGCCGGTCACCGGGTCGGGAGTTGCGCCACGCGTCCAGCTGCTCCTTCTCGATGTACTGCAGGCGCCGCTCGTGGAAACACAGCTTCAGCTTTGTCTGCGGGCAACATCGGCAACAACTCAAATGACAAGCTACTGGGGCAAGGTCACACAGCAAGAGCGGCGCGTGGTGTGCGTGCGCTGTCTTGTTATTGTGCGGATCTACCTTGTTCTTGGACGAATCACCCACTGCCTGGTTCACAGTTAGTACATGATTATATACAGATGTTGAGCCTGCATGCATGGTAGGATTGATGTGAGTGTAACGTTGTTTATCATACGGGTCTTTGAGGTGGCGCTCTGACAGGCACCTGTGGCACCAAAGCCGCTAGCATTGGTGTCATATCAACCATCATATGCTGTCGTTGGCATTATAGAAAAGCAAGCGGAATTTGGTGTGCATACCGTCGCCGGTAGCGCAACGTAAGACAACTCGTTTAGAGACACGTGATGAACTTGCTGCAAGGAACTTAACCTCACAACACAATTTTTGTTTCGTTTAATGCACCCTTTCAGCACGGCAAATCACACCAGCTTTCCTTTTGAGGGGCAGTCCACGAATCGCGACACGGACAGCCGCAAAACCTTGATGGCCAATCACAAAACAGTAATTCTAATTCTCTCAAAGAACAACGCATAACCTGTCAGGGTAGACCCAAATTTGGCGCGAGCCTGCGGGCGCGCCACAGAGCGCGGCGACACGCACCCGGAACACGGCGTCGTTGCACGAGGTCAGGTCCCCTAGCTTCTTGATGCGGATCTCGTAGCTCTGGCCCTGGTTGAGGTACGTCAGCGTCTCCTCGTTCAGCTTGGTGGCAATCGACGTGGCGGCGTTCAGCACATATTGAAACCTGCCAGCACGCGGCACCACGCGCTCTCGTCAAGGCGACGGTCTCGCGCCGCGCGCTGCCGCAGCTGCGCTCGGGCGGTCGGCTCAGTCTCGCCAGTAGCTACCGTCACAGAGCGACGCGGAACAGACATAACGCAGGGTCCAATGCGCAGCACCGTGCCGGGTCTAATGAAGCGAGGGAAGAACAGACACGGGAGATCGGTGGCATCGCTGCCTTGCTCCAACGCCATCGCTCTTCGCGCAGGCGGGGCACCAGCGTCGGGCCGGGCCAGGTGGAGGACCCGTCCGACCAGAACGAGCAGGCGTCACGGCGATAAGGGTCGCCACTCTACACATCCATCCCGACGAGTTGGCGTTGCCATGGCAACAACAGAGCGTCCCGCTCGCCGACTCCAGCTGAACGGTCGCCTAGCGCCATACGGGCATCATAATTGTTTAGGCTATTCAACAACACGTGTACCAACTAACGCCATCAGAGTTGCGCGCGATAAGACCAAAGTAAATGCAAGACATGCGTAGACGGACAGTGCACAGCTTTCGGAAATAACTAGAGGGGAGGAAGACCCCGCGGTACGCAGTGTCATCGGCAGTCAGTTTACGGCCCCCAGCACACGTAAAACCGTGTCACCAGCGTAAGCCCCGTTACCACTGTTTTCTGAAGCGACTATTTTTACAAGATCAATGGCGTACAGATGCGGTCGCAGGTCAGCAAATCTAGCGCACGCTCACGTCTTGCCGCTTGTTTGGTCCTTCGACTGTATGAAATGGGCTCTGTTCATGAAACGCACCACGTCGATCATCAAAAAAGGATGCATGCACTGATGAATATGCACTCACAACAATACGAAAAACCGAGTGCATTTCTTCAGGGAGGTGGTTGTCTACTATCAGTTCTTCCGTTATGAGTATCCAATAACAGCCCTTCGACATGACCAGCTCCAGGAGCGGTCCAGCCCGCTGCTGCCTTGCGTTTCATGAGCTGAACATGAACATTTCATGAGCTGTTTCATTAAGTGGTGCAGGGGACGGCGGCAGTCGCCACACGGGCCCATCTCCTAGATAGAGCACTATGGCTAAATCAAACAAAATAGCCTTAAATGACATTCAACGTTGATCCAATGAGTTTCGCCAATGCCACCACGTACTGTAAACCGCTGACATATGTGAATGATAGAGGTGACAACAGTACGCCACAATTTCACGGTCACGCCTTGCACGATGTTGTCAGCTGCGAGCCAATAGGCCGTGCCCAGCCAGCCGGCTCCGCACGATGGGGCTGCCAAGGCCAGCTTCCGCGTTACATTGTCGATCACGTACTCGCTACCACAGGCGTTCTGTAACCAGGTGTTCACGAGGCGGCTGGGGGAGGGGGGAGGGAGCCGACGGCGGCCGAGCGTCGCAGCACGTAACACTGGACGCCAATGACCGGCGAGGTAAGGCAGCCTGGCCTACCCACATGCAAAGGTGGCCCTCAACAGCACCCAGCCGGCGGGTGACGGCGGCCCTCGCCGCCGCACGGTACCCCGGGGGCCGGCGGCTGGGGCCAGGCCGCTGCCACCGTACGGTATCCCGGGCGCCGGCGGGTGCCGGCGGCTGGGGCCGAGCCGCCGTCGCCGTACGGTACCCCGGGGGCCGGCGGCTGGGGCCAGGCCGCTGCCACCATACGGTATCCCGGGCGCCGGCGGGTGCCGGCGGCTGGGGCTAAGCCGCTGCCGCCGTATGGTACCTCGGGGGCCAGCACTGAGGCGAGGCCGCCGCCGCCGTACGGTACCTCGGGGGGCCAGCACTGAGGCGAGGCCGCCGCCGCCGTACGGTACCGCGGGGGGGGGGGGGGCAGCACTGACGCGAGGCCGCCGCCGCCGCACGGTACCTCGGGGGCCAGCACTGAGGTGAGGCCGACCCGCCGCACGGTACCTCGGGGGGGGGGGGGGGGCAGCACTGAGGCGAGGCCGCCGCCGCCGCACAGTACCTCGGGGGGCCAGCACTGAGGCGAGGCCGCCGCCGCCGTACGGTACCTCGGGGGGCCAGCACTGAGGCGAGGCCGCCGCCGCCGTACGGTACCGCGGGGGCCAGCACTGAGGCGAGGCCGCCGCTGCCGCATCGCCGCCTCGGAGAGCATCGCACCGTTGTATACACACAGTGGACCGATGGCCGGCCCTGATCCATATTTCGACGCACTGACCTTCACCCGGCTGTTCCGGCGCGGCGGGTTGATACGCCGACACAAAGGCCATCGAGGAAGCCATACTCTATAAAGCCATATTAGAGGACTGAGTTGTGCTTTGTTTCACACCCGATGGATTACTTATTGTCATGCGGTGAACTTCGCTTGAAGCCGATGGTGGGGGTGACAGATTTTACCAATGAGGACTTGGAAATGCACTGGAGAGATTTTGTCCTTGGGGTTCAAACATTCGGTAATTCCTTTGGAGCCTACACCTGATTCCGTGCACGACAGCGGGTGGCCGAACCTGACGACACCCACGGCAGACGGGCAGCCACATCCACACGGACACAATAGACACTGGGCCGAGCTCCCCGCCACCGAGCTCCGCTGGCTGAGTTGAGACCTTGTGGTGTCACGGGTAAGGATGTCATACGTGGCTATGAATAATGGCTGTAGAACCAAGTATGGGCAATTAATCGAATCAGCTAATTCAGTCCACGGAGACCTAATGCGCGTAGCAATGCCGCATTTGGGTATCATTTCACTGCGCAGCTATCAGCAAGTTAGGCATTCAACAGCTTTATTGTCGATGGCGCCATACACATGCGGTGGGGAGCCGCCCATTTGCCCGGCATACAGGACACTAAGACTAAGCGACAACACGTCAGCAGTGTTGTCAACACGCCTCGAGTCCGTTGCTACGCGTTGCTACGTAAACAACCGCGACTTACCGCACTTACTTCGCCACTCCGCCAACTGCTTTTTTGCGTCTTATTTGGCGCTTCGGGGCACGTTGACTGTAAACGGCCACGCAGCGTCTTATTCTAATGGTATCGCTGAGTGGCTAAATACTGATGCGATAGACAACAAAAACCGCGGGTTCCGCAAATTAGTGGCCAACAAAATAACTTAAACCACGCCATTGGAAGAGTAAGCTGTTAAGCTAGTTCATTTTAACTCATTGTGGATGTACCCGAGTATGTCAATGAATATTTGCGGTACAAATTGAGGGTTTTGCGGTTCACAAAGCATCGCCATCATATTGTTGTCTTTCTACCATCGGCGCACATCTGAGCTGTTTCTACAGCATCTGATCTGTGCCCTTTAGCTCAGACTGCGTGCGTGCGTGTGTGCGTGTGTGCGTGCGCGCGTGCGTGCGTGCGTGCGTGCGTGCGTGCGTGCGTGCGTGTGTGCGTGTGTGCGTGCGCGCGTGCGTGCGTGCGTGCGTGCGTGCGTGTGCGTGTGTGTGTGTGTGGTTCTGGCCCGTGGCATCTGATCTGTGTCCATTAGCTCAGAAATGTATGCTTGGCTCTGACCCGTGGCATCTGATTTGTGTCCATTGACTCAGACATGCATGTTTGGTTCTGACCTGTGGCACCTGACCCGTGTCTCAGAGACCAAATATTTGTGAGCGGACCTCCAATGTGCCTATGGGTCTCTACCCTGTGTCCACGGGCCTCACCTGTGCTGGCGGACCTCTGCCCTGCATCTACGGACCTATGACCTGTGTCTGCCGACCAATGGTCTGTGTCCGAAACTGTGATCGCTGTCTATGACACACTTGACCTGTAGCAGCAGACAATGGACGAAGGCCACCGAGTCACTGACACCGGTCGCAACGTCACTGACACAGGTCACAAGGTCAAAGACACAGGGCACAGTGTCACATGCACAGGTCACAAGGTCCGACACCGGTTACAGGATTGGACACAGGTCATAGGGTCACAGACACATGCCAAAGGGTCACAGACACGTGCCAAAGGGTCACAGACAGGTCGCAGGGTCACAGACACAAGACACAGGGTCACATACACAGGTCACAGGGTCGGTAGGCAGAGGCCTGAGATCCATACGTGCAGGGCAGAGGTCCGATGGCAAGGGTGCGGCCCGTAGACACAGGTTAAAGGTCCCAGACACAAACAGATCCCATACCATAGCAACAGTAAAGATGTCCACAGGCGGCAGCCAAGCAAACAGCATCATTTCAGTGCAGCGACGGCCGCAATGTCGCATCGCAGGGAGAACCACGGCGGCTGCCGTCGAAGGTGCACAGCTGTCCGCGTGTTTGGCTGTGCATCTCTGAACCACGCCTTCGCGAAATTTCACGCGTTCGTGGATCAATGACCCGCCCCGGGAGACCTCTGGTCTGCACCTATGTTCTTTGAGCTGCTGCTGAGAGCTCTAATCTGCGACCTGCGATCAGCCTACTTCTAACCCGCACAATCTCCGGTGGCGTCTGCGACGGTTCTGAACGTCCGTATACCGCGGCTCTGACCGTCCGTCTGCGGCGACTCTGACCATCCGTCTGCAGCGGCTCTGACCATCTGTCTGCGGCGGCTGACCATCCGTCTGCGGCGGTTCTGATTATCCGTCTGCAGCGGTTCTGACCATCCGTCTGCGGCGGCTGACCATCCGTCTGCGGCGGTTCTGGCCATCCGTCTGCGGCGGCTCTGACCCGCGCCTGTGGTGACACGGACACGCACCTGTGGCGCTTCCCACCCACGACCGTGGCGGCCCTGACCTGCCCTGTCAAGTGAGTCTGATCCCGACCTGCGGCCCTGGGCCTGACCTGTGGTGCAGCAGCTTGTGGGCCTCGGCCACCACCACGGCGGCGGCGGTGCGGCCCGGCGTCGCCGCGCCCTCCTCGTTGTTCGACGACACGTCCTCGAGCAGCGAGGCCGGCGTCGCCGACGCGTCCATGTTCTGATGCAGCGAGCTGTGGCCAGAGTGGACGGCAGGGTCATCACAGACCAGTGATGGGCACTGAGTCACTGACGGCAGACGCGTCACAGCACAGTAACGTCACCAGAGCGGACGACAGAGTCATCACAGACCAGAGATGGGCATCGAGTCACCGACAACAGGCGCGTCACGGCGCCGTCACGTCACGTCAGAGCCATGACAAACCAGAGATGGGCACCGAGTCACTGACAACAGACGCGTCACGGTGCCGTCACGTCACCAGAGCGGACAACAGAGCCATCACAGACCAGGGACGGGTACCGAGTCACAGACAACAGACGCGTCACGGTGCCGTCACGTCACCAGAGCGGACAATAGAGCCATCACAGACCAGGGACGGGCACCGCGTCACAGACAACAGATGCGTCACGGTGCCGTCACGTCCAGCCGGCCCCCCGGAGCCTGCTGCATGTCGAAGGCCGCACACCAGGGGCTTCCGGGGGCGGGGGGATTGAGGCTTTACGACGCACTCAGCTGCTGAGGCCACATGGCGTCATCAGTCTCTCACCCTCGCATCAAGGGCGGGAACCGCGGGAAATTGAACCCCGTACCTCTGGTTTCCCAGACGTGCAGTGATTAACGCAGACGCGCTAACACTTCACTATCAGCACGCCCATGATGATTGATAATTCTGGATACATTCTTAAAAAACTTGATGGCGCAGATCAATATGGAAAATAGCTGCAACTTCGCTGCAGAAGGTAATGAATGGCCCTGGCCGGGCGGGGTCCACTCACGGAAGGCAGCGTAAATGTAGTCGAGCTTTAGAAATGATGCGCCCCTACCGAAAAGTTCTGGCTGCGGCACTGATGGTGGTTACTGCGCCCAGAATCAAGCGGTGATAGGCGCCCACAATCACGCGTAAGCTCACCGCAAAAACTTCGGGGAAATTCGAAACATGACCACTCGCATATGGCCATGGACGCACAACCAAACTTCGCCGGGAGACAAACCGGGCAAATACCACTTCTTGCGCAATACTTGGCTCGACCGCCTCGGATCGAGCGAAGGCCCTGACAATATGTAGCGGGTCCGGCGGGAAGCCCGTTATGCAAGAGGGTGCTCTAGCACAGACGCGCCCTTTGTCGGTCTCTGCGTGTGATGGGACCAAGCACAGCACAGCCCGCCCCGCCCGATGTTCCGCTGGTGCAGCTACCATTCATGCGGGTAACTGTGACCTGTCACTTCGGCTGCTTGTCATCACAGATCACACGATAAAACGCGCCCAGACTGAGGCGTCCAGCGAGCCTGTGAGGACCTGGCCACCGTTCCGAGGGTGGTGATGGCGCCATCTCGCGCACTGACCTGGACTCGGAAGGCAACAGCGACACTTCGTTCTTCAGCAGCGTGGACATGTTGGAGATGTTTGGCAGAGCCAGCAACGCTTCACTGAAACACACAACTCAAACATGATCGAATTCATCACATCGCCACAGATCCGGCGTCCGTCATGTCCACTTTCAGCAATGCTTCACTGAAACTCGACACCACCCAAACAAGAGCGAGCCCATGACATCGTTACCGAGCCGGCGTCTGTTATGTCCGCGTTTAGCAACGCTTCATTGAAACTCGACACCATCTAAACAGGAGCGAACTTACGACATCGTCACCAGGGGAGACCGGCGTCAGATTAGTCCGCCGTCCGGGCGAGCAGTGCGGCACAGTATCGCCCGTCAGCAGTGAGACCGGCCGCAGCCAGGCGGCCCGGACGCCGGACCGGCGGCGGCCGGCACGGAGGGCCCTGTGGCGCCCCGGCCAGTCGCTGCCCGGGTCAGCCGTGCGCATATGAAACTGGTCTGGTCTGTGGTGACTGGGTCACTGGTCTGGTTTGTAGCGAATGGGTCACTGGACTGGTCTGTGGTGAGTGGGTCACCGGTCTGCTTTATAGTGAGTGGGTCACCGGACTGGTCTGTGGTGAGTGGGTCACCGGTCTGGTCTGTGGTGAGTGGGTCACTGGTGTGGTCTATGGTGAGTGGGTCACTGATCTGGCCTGCCGTGGGTGGGTCGCCGGTCTGGTCTATGGTGAGTGGGTTGCTGGTCTGGCCTGTGATGAGTGAGTCACTGATCTGGCCTGTGACGAGTGGGTTACTGGTCTCGTCAGTGGTCAGTGCGTGCGGCGACAGCCACTCACGGTCATCAACTGTGACTGGTGTAATTGTACCTGGCTAGAGGTAAGCATCCGGTCCATATGACTCACAGGTCAGGTCAGTGGTCAAGGGGGGGGGGAGCTTCTGACTGAAATTGTGTCTTGTTAGCATTGCGCGGCAGCCCCCCACCATTTGGCCATGACCGTCCAGTGAGTGGTAAGCAGTGTGCATTACTTTAACACGCGCCCGGGTGGCCGGCTGGATACCCTTCGCTTGGGTGGGGGTCAATTTGACCCCCCTTAGATCCAGGGAACTCAGAGAGCTAGAGACACCAAATCTGCAAGACGTGTTGGCCTGTACGTGAAATCACTGAAGTCAAAGTTTCAGGTTCCTAGGTGACGACCTTCGGGTCAAATAAAGTTAAGCGAGGTCAAATGTCAGGTTGGTTTCCAAGTGCCCCAGAGCCTAGATAACCGTTCCCGAGAAAAAGGTCACATGCTCATTAAAGGTCAGTGACCTTGTTTGACCTTTGAAGGTCATGGTGACCAAAATCATACAAGATTGCTGAGTTTTGCATTTGAATAGGAGACAAACATCATGCTAGGCGGTATGTTCCTAAAAACAAAATGTTGACCTGGGTCATTTTAGGTCAATCACCTATTCTGATCTCTAAGAGGTCCATGGAAGATGTATAATGCGGTTCCTGTTATCAATAAACTCGAAATGAGCACCGGACACTGTCTCATGCAGCAAGCCCTAGAGTAATAAAACAGGCTGTTTTTTGCCTTGGTCCAACCTTCACATCTGACCATTTGCTCATTCGACTGTTTTGTTGCCTAAGAAAGCATTTCAGAGATGTATGGCTTCGTCTAACACTCCGTTGTTCATCAGATTGGGCGATTCCCCAGGAATCCCCTTCGCTGAAACCATGGCCTGACTTCGACTTGCCATAGGTCAGCGACCTAACAAGGTACATCTCAATTTTTGATGCCAAACGATCCGCTGTTCAATAGTCGACAGCCATGCAAAATTATGCGCGGCGTAGCTGTTCGGAAACCATTCTAGAAAAACCTTCGGGGGGTCAATTTGACCCCCAACCGAGCGCGTGTTAAAAGACGCCATGCGATTGATTACAATTGGAGCTTCACCGGCTTTGTCAAAGGCCAATGGTCGTCTCTATCTGACTGTGGTCAGCGTGTGTGTATATGCGCAAAATGGTCCTTGTGCGTGCGTGCGTGCGTGCGTGCGTGCGTGCGTGCGTGCGTGCGTGCGTGCGTGTGTGTGTGCGTGTGTGCTTGTGTGCGTGTGTGAGTGTATGTGCCTGTATGTGTGGCTGCGCGTATGTGTGGCAGCGACTGGCAACCGCCAGACGACAGGACAGATTGTTCCCTGATCAAGGTGAGCGCCATATTGATCAGCAAACCAAGGACCGGGCAGCAGTCAACGGCCGCCCATCCAGCCACGCCCCACCTGAAGCAGGCGAGCCCCCGCTAAGAACCCGCGCGCCTTCGCCGTCAGACGGCCCGGGCGCCGCGCGTCGGCGGCACGTCCGGGCGCGGCCCGTGACCTGACCCGCTCCCCTGGCACCTTCACTGTTGGCCCGGCCCAGTGTGCGGCCGCCCCGCTGGCCTGCTGACCTCATGTTGTAGGTGGTGGACGAGATGTTGACGCCGAGGCCGGAAAGCGAGTCGTCGAAGTCGGCCGCCAGGCCCTGGTCCACGTCGCCGTTGGCGTGCCAGCTCGTGATCTTGTCGCCTGCCGGACGGCGAGGCGCGGAGGTCACGGACAGCCGCCACTCAGGCTCGGCTCGACTCCCGCCCACCGCCGCGGCCGAGCCTCTGGGGCCGCCGTGGGGCCAGCCGGGGGGCTTGGCTCGATTCCCGCGCAGCGCCGCGGCCGAGCCGAACCTCTCGAGCGGCCGGTGGGGCCGGCCGGGAAGGTGCCCGCGGCGGGGGAGGGGCGGGCAGGACCACCGCCGTGCGCCAGAGACGGAGAGGCCGGGGACGGGGAGAGGCAGCGGGGGACGACGGCCGAGCACGAGCAGAGGAGAGACGGGTCAGCTGCAGACAGACGGTCACTACGGACGAGGGACGCGTATCACATTCACGACAATGTCTCATGACCACGGCCATTCGGGCAAGGTTAGCACGCTCCTCACACGACTACGAGAAGCGCGACCTATGCACAGTAGTGTAGCGTGGCTGGCCAACGCGTGCTCAGCTACTGTCTGGCGCCCCGGCTAGGCCCCCCCCCCCCCCCTCCCTCGCGCCGAGTCCCGCGGCCCAACCCCGCCAGTGTGATACAGACTGGGCGCTATGAAGAGAAAACCCCGACACGGGCGTCCCCGAGGCTGCCATGTTCAGTGTGACCACACCCCAATCACTATGCATGCCGCTTGAACTAATCCCTTTCTGACTATGATATGGTACTGTACACGATGAGCTGGTGCATTACATCACATCCTGCATATCTTCGTCGGGACAACACAGCCATCATTGCAACGAAGTGTTGATGCAGTTAGAGATTGCCCCATCTGTGTCGCTTGCCATCTATCGGTTGCCCGGCCAGCGTCGGGCACTAATTTTCACATCAATGTGAATGCAATAATGCACAACCTCGATACACTTATGGGAATAGATAGTCACATGCAGTGAGGCTGACCAGCAAGCACGATACACCCCGGTGTCATGTCAACCCGGATCAAGTAAGAGATGAAAGGTCTGGATTAAATCTCATCATTATCAGACCCGACAGGCTATCAATGTTCATCTACATCCCGACTATGTTCCGGCTCTGGGAAATGAATGCAATTTCCGGACCATGAATGCCCCTGCATTCTTCTTTGCAGATGGATTATTATAGTACCCGGCTTTACATCGCGCCATAGTGACGTCACCTCCGTGCAATACTGTAATACGACTGCGTGAAGGCACACAGAATCATTGCGCGGACTGTCGTGCTGAATATTGTACAAAATGCTGCATCAAACACTAAACGCTGCAGTACATTAACCTCGCCACACCCGGAGGCCTTGTCGAGCTGGAGAGGCAGATGCTGTTTTCTCACAACCTTGGGAAAGCATAACCGAACTTTTCAATGAACGCCGAGCAACCGGAGAGGATCGGTTCGGTCCAGATAATAATCAGTGAGGGTAACTGTGGCCGTTCGGTTTATCTGTCTGGGTTTCGGACAACCCTCAGCAAGGAGCCGTGCTAGGATGTCGGAGCCTGAATGACAACACTGACGTTCTTGGCAATGCCCTACAGTTTCGCTCTGATTTCGTGACAGAGCTCCTGGTAGCCTCTTTGAATGGACATGTTCGTAAATGCGGAGTAAAAAGCAAAATGCCTGTCATATCTTCCGGGTACCCCAGCCTGGGTCAATGTAAGACATACAGCCACAGATCCCAATACATTCACAGATAGCACGGCTCGACAGACACATCCCAGTGTGAACCATCGATGCGCGTTGCTGTTGCTGATCGTTGCTGATCAGTGATTGCTTGACATCTTTGTTCAACGAATTTCTCTCCAGAAAATTGGATATTTTCAGCGCACGGCCATACCACAGACCTGGATTGCGAGCGTTTCAGCGAGACTCCAAAAGACACCGATCGCTAAACATGCACGCCAGAATACGCCAACTGGTCTCCAGGAGGCGCCCAACGACACACTGCCAGAACATCCCAACTGGTCTCCTGGCGGCGCCCAACGACACGCTGCCAGAATATGCCAACTGGTCTCTAGGCGGCGCCCAACGACACTGCCAGAATACGCCAACTGGTCTCCAGGCGGCGCCCAACGACACACTGTCAGAATATGCCAACTGGTCTCCAGGCGGCGCCCAACGACACACTGTCAGAATATGCCAACTGGTCTCCAGGCGGCGCCTAACAACACACTGCCAGAATATCCCAACTGGTCTTCAGGCGGCGCCCAACGACACACTGTCAGAATATGCCAACTGGTCTCCAGGCGGCGCCCAACGACACACTGTCAGAATATGCCAACTGGTCTTCAGGCGGCGCCCAACGACACACTGTCAGAATATGCCAACTGGTCTCCAGGCGGCGCCCAACGACACGCTGCCAGAATATCCCAACTTATCTTTAAGCGGCGCCCAACGGCACACTGTCAGAATGTGCCAACTGGTCTTCAGGCGGCGCCCAACGACACGCTGTCAAGTCAACTAGGAATAGAACACTACCTGGTATTTTATGGCAAACAACTGGGAAACCAATAGACACACATACATATGAGGGAAATCTTGTGCGAACGTTACTTTGCGCACCCGTCCACAGCCGTGCCTCGCGTATCCTCGCCAAATCGCATGGCGGCGTCCGACCTGCCCTACCTGATATGTTTCTGCCTCTCCGATCGATTCCGTCTGTTCGAAGGAGCAAGAGCGACGCGTCTCCGGAGAGCCGCATCAGCTGATAGTAGAACATCTCGTTTCGCCGATGAGGCAACTGTCGTCGGATTTCTCCCCACTTGGTTCACAATCTACAGTTGCCTCATGTCGTCATACTCCAACAATTTAATGGCATTGCACACCTCGGACCACGCTAAATTTGCTGGATTGAAGTTTTCCGCACCGCGACCACCCAAACCAGTTACTACAAACCGGCCAGGGGTGTTGCCAGAGGTCATAAGGCGTTCTGGTGTGGGTGGCGCCATCTACCCTTCGAAGACTTCAGTGCGCTTCCTGCGCAACCCACAGGATCTCAGGATCACTCGCAACCTCCTTAGAAGACGCGCGGGTGCAACAACACACGAGAAACTATGCGTCCTGTCAGCCGCCCGGCCGGTGGACCGGCGCAGCGTTCGCCGCGGCACGTCAGCTACGCGACAACGGCGACACCCCCCGCCACCACCACTAACACTCCCACACCCCGGACACCGGAGAAAAGCGATCTTGCCAAGTGATGGACATGTCAGCACCGCTCTGACACCATTTTGAAAATGTTTCAAAATGGTGTCAGTTTCTGAGAGCATTTCATATACATACGTTGGAATAAAACGAACAATGTTGAACATCCAAGTGCTGAATCTGAAATTCGGCGAGCATCTGATGAGCCCGGGTCCAGCCGGACGGAGGTACGGCACACGGCTGACACGCGGCCCCCGTCCACGATGCGCTGGCATGGCTCCGAAGGCTGCCGGAGCATACTCAAGTCCAATTCAACACAAGGACGGCGGGCGCCTGGTTGGAGTAGCCATGGTCGGCAAATCAGGCCAGCCAGGGCCGGTTGGTTTCTAGAGCGGAGCGAATCAGGCCAGCCAGGGTCGGCTGGTTTCTGGAGCGGAGCGAGTCAGGCCAGCCAGGGTCGGTTGGTTCCTGGAGCGGAGCGAATCAGGCCAGCCAGGGTCGGTTGGTGTCTGGAGCGGAGCGAATCAGGCCAGCCAGGGTCGGTTGGTGTCTGGAGCGGAGCGAATCAGGCCAGCCAGGGTCGGCTGGTGTCTGGAGCGGAGCGAATCAGGCCAGCCAGGGTCGGTAAGCCATCGGCTGAACGCGACCACCGCATGTGCGTCAGGCGATGGAGTACAACGCTTATCCATGATACATGAGACAGCCTCTATGGTGTGGTAGTGGTGACAAAACAAATATGCCCAAGAATATTGTGACAATCATGCCATCAACGTTTGGCAACGCGTGGACATTTTGGATGATACGGTGCTTATGCATGAATGCACATACAGTATCCTTTATTTGTTTACGCAAGATATCCTTTTTAAGCACGTTTCACTGAAAATCAACGTGCTGCGTCATTACCAACATTCATTCGCGTGCATGAAGTGTGATCCTATCTGATAATAAATGCCTTTCATATAATGGCGAAACGTAACGTTTAAATCGACATCCGACCAATACGCGACATTTTATCTGAATAATGTTGGTAATTTATCTCTATTTAGCCATCTATTTATCTTTGGACTTCAACGCGACAATGAAAGGCTGATCAGAAACATCAAACGACCTGACAGAAACCTTTCTAAAGCTCATAGCTCATTGATTTGCAATTCATCATGCCTAAAATAAATAAATATATATAGACATATAGATAAATATATATATATATATATATATATATATATATATATATAATATATATATATATATATATATATATATATATATATATACCAGACAGAGGCCTCTCGTGCCTCTTCCTTGAACGCGCCGCTGGCCATTGTAATCCTAGTAGAAAGTACAACTTAAGTCCCTTTTTGCATATACCCTAGGCATTTCACCAACTCCCCACGGAGTTTGGAAACTGCCAATGCGGTTGTAAATTTCCTGACCACCCAGCTGGATTGCAAATTTCCTGACCACCCAGCTGGGTTGTAAATTTCCTGACCACCCAGCTGGGTTGCGAGCTCCTTCGCAGATTCATGAACTTTATCACCATAGCGTAGACGATGATCGTGAACTGAGCTTTGAAAAGGCAAAAATGCCTTAACATGCGGATGTATCGGTACCATTGGTATGACCAACGGTCGTCGTCGGTCGGTGCTGCTCTGGGAAATCAGTGTTGCGGGTGGCAGGGGAGAACAAAGCCCGATTACCAGGCGCCAAGTCCCAAACTGAGATACAGAAACAGCAACCATGAACCGTTATTTGACACTAATGGAAGCAGCCGCTATCGCTAATCGCACGCGAGGGGTGGCACCGACCGACCCCGGTCAACCCATCGGTCGCAGGGCTAGACTTGGGTGCGCACGCCCCCCAAAGCGGGCGACAGCCTACGGCTCGGT